CAGTAACAATCATTGGCTGGTAAGGTAAGGACAGGAAATGTACTTTGGGTTTAGTGATGTGTCAGGTCGAAATAGTGTGAAGCCCTGTAGTAAGAGATGGTGAACAGTGGATGGGATCAAGAGATACTTGGCAGCTAAAACAGGAGCAGGCGATGCTTAGATCTGGAGTTTGGGGAGAGGGAAGTATCAAGGATGATTTCTGTGTTTCTGGGTTGCTATAACTGATGAATGTAAGTAGAGTAAGATAAGCAACACTGAGGGGGAGTTCCCTGGTGGTCCAGTGGTTAAGACTTGGTGCTTTCACTGCCATGGCCTGGGTTCAATCCCTGGTCGGGGAACTAAGACCCTGCAAGCCTTGAGGCGAAGCCAAAATACAAAAAGAAAAAGGAAAAAGATAAGCAACACAGAGAGAGACTCAGACATAGGGAGTAGAGGGTGATGAATTCAGTTTGGATTGTGTTGAGTGGAGACATCCAAATGACGGTCAAGGAGGGCAACTGGAAATCCTGGTCTGGGGCTCAGAGGAGGGGGCCGGGCTAGAGATTTGAATCCCCTATTTTGGGTGAGACTGCCTGTGTTCAGCATTTGGAGTGAGAAGAGGGCTTAGGACTGAAGTTCCAGCATTCAAGGGGCATGTAGAGGAGGATGAGCTTGCAAAGGAAACAGAAGGTATGGTTAGGGAGGGGGAAGAAAAGCTGTGTGTTTTCTCAGAAAACTGCGGGAAAAGAGATTTCAGTGCCCAGTGATGCTGTTGAGAGGTCAAGTAAGGTAAGGACAGGAAATGTCCTTTGGTTAGTGATGCGGAGGTCACTGGTCACCTTAGTGAGAGCTGTATCACTGCAGTAATGAGGGTGGAAACTAGAGTAGGCAGGACTGAGGAAAGGGCAGAATATGAAGACTGAATCTAATCAGTTTCTTAGGCTTTTATTTTGCTCAGAAGGGGAACAGGGCAGGATAGTCGCTGAAGAGTGGTGTGGGGAAATTGATGGGGGAAATCCAGTTGAGAAAGACATTGAATATACAAGAGAAGAGCAGTCATCAATTTTCCAAGTTACAGGAGAGAATCCAAGGCATAGGTGGCAGGATTGACCATACTCCTTCAGTCAGCAGTTATTTAATTGAGCAACTAGTATATGTCAAACTCTGTAATAGGTGCCAGAGATACAGCAGTAACCAAGCCAGACACCTGGCCTTGTGGAGCTTATACTCTAGTGGCAAGAGACTAACAATACATGTATAAATAAATAATTTCATCTAATGTTAACTGCTATGTAAAAAATGATATGGAGTAACTAAGGGGGAAAGTTTTTGAATTTGTGTTCAATGCCAGAAATCATTTTTTAAATTGTGTAAAATACACACAAAATTTCCCATCTTAAACATTTGCAAGTGTACAGTTCAATAGTGTTAAGTGTATTTACATTGTTGTGCAACCACACTCCAGAACTTTTTTATCTTGCAAAATTGAAACTCTATAGCCATTAAACAAGTCACCTTTTCTCCCTCCCCCTAGCCCCTGGCAAATACCATTCTGTATTTCTGTCTCTAGGAATATACCTACTTTAGGTGCTTCATATAAGGGAATCATGCAGTATTTGTCTTTTTGTGACTGGCTTACTTCACAGAGCATAATGTCCTCAAGTTTCATCCATGTTGTAGCATATCAGGATTCCCTTTTTATGGCTGAATAATATTATATTATATATACAAACCACATTTTAAAACAACAAATGACTTTTTAGCATAAGTACCCTAGTTATATGCTAGTATAAGTATATACTTAAAATTTCATTTTTTTAAAAAAAAACCTGAAATTCAAATTTATCTGGGCATTCTATATTTTACCTGGCTACCCCAAATTGAAAACACAGGCTTGATCAATAAGGGTTACAATCTTTTTTAACTCTGACTTCTTTCTCCAGTGCCAAGTCTCTAAGTAACAGAGGCCTGTGGAAGGTAGAGGGAGAAGTTTAAAAGCAAACAAAAAGATGAGGAAAAAGTAGAGAGAAAAGGTTAACATGGTGATCGGAACAAAGGGGCACGTCACTCGAGGAGAGCTATACAGTCGTCCCTCGGTATCCACAGGACATTGGTTCCAGAAGACCCCGTGTGTACCAAAATCCGTGCACGTTCACGTCCCATTAGTTGGCCCTTCCTATCCACAGATGCGAATCCTGCGAATATAGAGGGCCGACTATAGTTGTCAGTATATTAAGTATCTACTCACACTGCAGGGTCAAAAAGCAAAGGCCTTGGGGACACCCAATCATGGGCTCTGGCCTCGGCCCAGCCACTGAGCGTCCTTAGACAAATTATTTAATGTCTGAGCCTCTTTTCACATTTGTAAAATGAGAAAACACTGAACTCCTAGGGTTGTTGTCAAGATAAGATACCACAGGTAAAAGCATCTAGTACCAAGCTGATGTGGCCTATTGCTCCTCTCCCTCATACTCCTGCTGCTTTTTGGATTTTTAAAATTTTTTAAATTTATTTTTGGCTGCGTTGGATCTCCGTTGCTGCGCGTGGGCTTTCTCCAGTTGCGACGAGCGGGGGCTACTCTTTGCTGCGGTTTGCAGGCTTCTCATTGCAGTGGCTTTTCGTTGCGGAGCACTGGCTCTAGGTGCCCGGTCTTAAATAGTTGTGGCACACGGGCTCAGTAGTTGTGGCTCGTGGGCTCTAGAGCACAGGCTCAGTAGTTGTGGTGCACGGGCTTAGTTGCTCTGTGGCATGTGGGATCTTCCCAGACCAGGGATACAACCGGTGTGCTCTGCATTGGCAGGCGGATTCTTAACCACTGCGACACCAGGGAAGTCCCTGCTTTTTGGATTTTTAAGATATAGGGTCAGAGTAAGCCACAAGGGCTTTAAAATGCCTAGTGGTGGTTGCTTACAAGAGCCTAATTAGAACCTTTTGTCCCTAAAATTCTCCCCCCTCTATTGGCAAAATTTCCACCATCTGGATTTCACTTTGTGGTGTAAGGCTTTGAATCTTGTTAAAAATCACACTGCGTCAAATGGTGTGGCCCTATTACCAGTCCTTCGGGCGTGGTCTGGGAATAGGTTTGGTTCCGGCAGTAAAGCGAGGAGGTGAGCACTTTCCTGGCTTGAGAAAACCTCCGGGCTCTGGTAGCCAGCGCTCGGCGGGACTGCTGGGCGGCCAGGCGCAAGGGTAAGCCTCCCTCCGCTCCGCTCCGCTCCGCCCCTCCCCGCCCCGGCCGAGTAGCCCCGCCCCCTCGCCG